TTCAGTCCTCTGACTAAAACTTTTAGTAACTCCACACCTCCTCCTAATTTCCACACTATGAATTCTCTGCATAATGCCGACACCACACATTGCCCTTAGACAGGACATTTCCACTGCCTCCTCGCTAAAGCATTTACAACTCATGCTTCACATCCCCTACCCATTCTAAGCCTTCTTGTTTATCTGCAATCCTACATTCTGTCTTACCTCTAATTCTTTCAATTATAACCCTACCGTACACTTTTCCTGGTATACTCAGTAAACTTATTCCCTTGTAATTTTTGCAATCTTTTTTGTCCCCCTTCCCTTCATATTAAGGATCTATACACTCTCTACCAATCCCTAAGTACCTTCCCCTCCTTCATACATTTATTAAACAAAAACACCAACCACTCCAACACTATATCCCCCCCTGCTTTTAACATTTCTGTCATGATCCCATCAGTTCCAGCTGCTTTACCCTCTTTCATTCTACGTAATGCCTCACGCACCTCCCCCACACTTACATTCTGCTCTTCTTCACTCCTAAAAGATGTTATACTTCCCTGGCCAGTGCATGAAATTATCGCCTCCCTTTCTTCATCAACATTTAAAAGTTCCTCAAAATATTCTCGCCATGTACCCAATACCTCCATCTCCCCATCTACTAACTCCCCTACTCTGTTTTTAACTGACAAATTCATTCATTCCCTAGGCTTTCTTAATTTGTTTAACTCACTACAAATTTTTTCTTATTCTCAGTAAAATTTCTTGACAGGGCCTCTCCCACTCTTATTTGCTCTCCTTTACACTCTCTCACGACTCTCTTCACCTCTCTTTTACTCTCCATATAATCTGCTCTTCTTATAACACTTCTGCTTTGTAAATACCTCTCATAAGCTAATTTTTTCTCTTTTATCACGCCCATTACTTCATCATTCCACTAATCACTCCTCTTTCCTCCTGCACCCACCCTCCTATAACCACAAACTTCTGCCCCACATTCTAATACTGCATTTTTAAAACTATTCCAACCCTCTTCAACCCCGCCACTACTCATCTTTGCACTAACCCACCTTTCTGCCAATAGTCACTTATATCTCACCCGAACTTCCTCCTCCCTTAGTTTATACACTTTCACCTCCCTCTTACTTGTTGTTGCCATTTTCTTTTTGTCCCATCTACCTCTTACTCCAACTGTAGCTACAACTATATAACGTTCTGAAATATCCGTTTCCCCTCTATAAACATGTACATCCTGGAGTCTACCCATCAAACTTTTATCCACCAATACATAATCTAACAAACTACTTTCATTACGTGCTATATCATACCTTGTATACTTATTTATTATCTTTTTCATAAAATACGTATGTACCGTAGCCAGTACTGCCACAGCACAGTCAGTACCGCAGTACTGCCACAGCACAGTCAGTACCGCAGTACTGCCACAGCACAGTCAGTACCGCAGTACTCCCAGAGCACAGTCAGTACCGCAGTACTACCACAGCACAGTCAGTACCGCAGTACTGCCACAGCACAGTCAGTACCGCAGTACTACCACAGCACAGTCAGTACCGCAGTACTGCCACAGCACAGTCAGTACCGCAGTACTACCACAGCACAGTCAGTACCGCAGTACTGCCACAGCACAGTCAGTACCGCAGTACTCCCAGAGCACAGTCAGTACCGCAGTACTACCACAGCACAGTCAGTACCGCAGTACTACCACAGCACAGTCAGTACCGCAGTACTGCCACAGCACAGTCAGTACCGCAGTACTACCACAGCACAGTCAGTACCGCAGTACTGCCACAGCACAATCAGTACCGCAGTACTCCCAGAGCACAGTCAGTACCGCAGTACTACCACAGCACAGTCAGTACCGCAGTACTGCCACAGCACAGTCAGTACCGCAGTACTACCACAGCACAGTCAGTACCGCAGTACTGCCACAGCACAGTCAGTACCGCAGTACTACCACAGCACAGTCAGTACCGCAGTACTGCCACAGCACAGTCAGTACCGCAGTACTCCCAGAGCACAGTCAGTACCGCAGTACTACCACAGCACAGTCAGTACCGCAGTACTGCCACAGCACAGTCAGTACCGCAGTACTGCCACAGCACAGTCAGTACCGCAGTACTACCACAGCACAGTCAGTACCGCAGTACTCCCAGAGCACAGTCAGTACCGCAGTACTGCCACAGCACAGTCAGTACCGCAGTACTGCCACAGCACAGTCAGTACCGCAGTACTGCCACAGCACAGTCAGTACCGCAGTACTACCACAGCACAGTCAGTACCGCAGTACTACCACAGCACAGTCGGTACCGCAGTACTGACACAACACAGTCAGTACCGCAGTACTGCCACAGCACAGTCAGTACCGCAGTACTACCACAGCACAGTCAGTACCGCAGTACTGACACAACACAGTCAGTACCGCAGTACTGCCACAGCACAGTCAGTACCGCAGTACTACCACAGCACAGTCAGTACCGCAGTACTACCACAGCACAGTCAGTACCGCAGTACTACCACAGCACAGTCAGTACCGCAGTACTACCACAGCACAGTCAGTACCGCAGTACTGCCACAGCACAGTCAGTACCGCAGTACTGCCACAGCACAGTCAGTACCGCAGTACTACCACAGCACAGTCAGTACCGCAGTACTACCACAGCACAGTCAGTACCGCAGTACTACCACAGCACAGTCAGTACCGCAGTACTACCACAGCACAGTCAGTACCGCAGTACTACCACAGCACAGTCAGTACCGCAGTACTACCACAGCACAGTCAGTACCGCAGTACTGCCACAGCACAGTCAGTACCGCAGTACTACCACAGCACAGTCAGTACCGCAGTACTACCACAGCACAGTCAGTACCGCAGTACTACCACAGCACAGTCAGTACCGCAGTACTGCCACAGCACAGTCAGTACCGCAGTACTGCCACAGCACAGTCAGTACCGCAGTACTACCACAGCACAGTCAGTACCGCAGTACTAGCACAGCACAGTCAGTACCGCAGTACTACCACAGCACAGTCAGTACCGCAGTACTACCACAGCACAGTCAGTACCGCAGTACTACCACAGCACAGTCAGTACCGCAGTACTGCCACAGCACAGTCAGTACCGCAGTACTGCCACAACACAGTACCGCAGTACTGCCACAGCACAGTTAGTACCGCAGTACTACCACAGCACAGTCAGTACCGCAGTACTGACACAACACAGTCAGTACCGCAGTACTGCCACAGCACAGTCAGTACCGCAGTACTGCCACAACACAGTCAGTACCGCAGTACTACCACAGCACAGTCAGTACCGCAGTACTGCCACAACACAGTCAGTACCGCAGTACTACCACAGCACAGTCAGTACCGCAGTACTGACACAACACAGTCAGTACCGCAGTACTGCCACAACACAGTACCGCAGTACTGCCACAACACAGTCAGTACCGCAGTACTGACACAACACAGTACCGCAGTACTGCCACAACACAGTCACTACCACAGTACTACCACAGCACAGTCAGTACCGCAGTACTGCCACAACACAGTCACTACCGCAGTACTACCACAACACAGTACCGCAGTACTGCCACAGCACAGTCAGTACCGCAGTACTTACACAACACAGTCAGTACAACAGTACTGCCCAACACAGTCAGTACCACAGTACTGCCACAACACAGTCAATACCGCATTTCTGCCACAACACAGTCAGTACCGCAGTACTGACACAACACAGTCAGTACCGCAGTACTGCCACAAAACAGTCAGTACCGCAGTAATACCACAACACAGTCAGTACCGCAGTACTGACACAACACAGTCAGTATTGCAGCCCTGCCACAACACAGTCAGTACCGCAGTACTACCACAACACAGTCAGTACCACAGTACTGCCACAACACAGTCAGTACCACAGTACTGCCACAACACAGTCAGTACCACAGTACTGCCACAACACAGTCAGTACAACAGTTCTGCCACAAGACAGTCAGTACAACAGTACTGCCACAACACAGTACAACAGTACTGCAACAGCACAGTCAGTACCACAGTACTACCACAACACAGTCAGTACCACAGTTCTGCCACAACACAGCACCACAGTACTGACACAACACAGTCAGTACCACCGAACTGCCACAGAAGTACTGCAGTTGGGAAATAAAGTGGAACTTGTTGAAGTTGCACTGAGCTAAATATTGTGTTGCGCGGTGTTGCGTGTAGCTGCCGCTGCTCCACTGCGCTCTAACACACTTCATTGTTTTCTTGTCGATTCCAGATCTTCAATAATATGAAAGACGTTTTATGCAATAATTTCATTTATCATCAGTTTGTATTTCTTTTCTTTTCGAAATTCATTTCACAGCCTAGCCCCGTTTGAGGTACACTAACACCCTGCCCGGGATGCCACCCACAACAGTCGACTATCGCCCGGGTACCTACTTACTGCTAGGTGAACAGGGGCAACAGGTGCTAAGAAATATGTCTAACGTTTCCAGGCCCACAGGATGGGTATGGGGTGCATAATAAACATATTAAACTAACTAACGTTTCCAATTGTGTGGGGGAGCAAGCCCTAGTCTGTATTAAACTGCATCAGTGTATAACCTTAATTTTTAAGGGGTGGACCGGCAAGCCAGCGGAAGGCCTCGTTCAGATGACCAAAAGATCCTGTGGCGGGTTATCATATGACTAAGACTCGCGTCATGAAACACTTGTACTGCTTCCTAACGAATCTTTCCTAACTTAACCTAACCTGGTCCCTCATACTTTATCATCCACTACTTGCAGTGAATGACTAACACGGGTTGAGAACTTTACAGAAACAAAACAAGAAACTCCATACACACTAGAACTAGCAGAACTAGTTAGATTACAGTGCTACCAGTCAGGATCAAAATATTGCAGACAACGTAACATTACATAGGGGAAAGTAGCAGGTACATGTGAGGAAGATGACTGAGTAGGAAGTAAGTAGGTGCTGCTATTACCTGCAAGAAGAGGAAGTAGCTGCAGGTTTGACCTGTGAGACCAGTGGCCAAGGGATGAGGATGATCCTCTCTCCTGAGGGTGAAGGTGTCAGCTCCGGGGTTCTTCCAAGAGATGACCCACACATCAGGTCTGACAGCCTCAACTATGGGCACTGTAAGATGATCACTTTTATAGTGATATAAGTGGCCACACAGGCGATCGAAATGTATAAAGACGCGATGATGAAGTTACAAACATATAATTGAAATACTCTTACTACAACAACGCCTGTGTTGTGTACAACGCTTAATTAAAGAAAAAAAAAACTGAAAATTAACTATAACCAACTTACCAATAGGGAAGACCTCAGTGTCTCCACTTGCCAGCACAGTTTTCAAGTCAATGTCTTTTAAGGTTACCAAGATCGACAGTGTTTTGGAAACATCCTCCTTTGGCAGAGTTACTGAAGGGAAGCACCACTGGTGGTCCACTGTCCTGGACGCACCCTGCTGCCTCCACTCTCCACCCTCTTCAGTGGTGAGCACCAGCTGGTACTGTGACGCCCCCGACACATCGGTCACCTGGCCGTCACGGAAACACACTGTCGTGTCCACTTCCTCCAGGCTTGTGGTCCAGTCCACGAGCACTGATTCCAGTTGAATACCTGCCATGGGTTGGGCATGAGAAAGAGCGGCCTAGCAGGGCCAGTAGGCCTACTGCAGTACTTTTCTAGTTTTTTATTCAGTATATTATCATATGTGATATTGTTACTGGAGACATAAATGAAACAATAAAAGAAGAGAGAGTGATATGTTTCTATCTCTAACTGAGGACCTCAGTTAGAGGACCTCAGTTAGAGGACCTCAGTTAGAGGACCTCAGTTAGAGGACCTCAGTTAGAGGACCTCAGGACCTCAGTTAGAGGACCTCAGTTAGAGGACCTCAGTTAGAGGACCTCAGTTAGAGGACCTCAGTTAGAGGACCTCAGTTAGAGGACCTCAGTTAGAGGACCTCAGTTAGAGGACCTCAGTTAGAGGACCTCAGTTAGAGGACCTCAGTTAGAGGACCTCAGTTAGAGGACCTCAGTTAGAGGGCCTCAGTTAGAGGACCTCAGTTAGAGGACCTCAGTTAGAAGACCTCAGTTAGAGGACCTCAGTTTGAAGATCTCAGTTAGAGGACCTCAGTTAGAGGACCTCAGTCAAAGGGCCTCAGTTATAGGGCCTCAGTTAGAGGGCCTCAGTTAGAGGACCTCAGTTTGAAGATCTCAGTTAGAGGACCTCATTTAGAGGCCGAAATATCCAGGGCATCGCATGGACGTCCTGTGTTCCAGTATACCTATCAGTGAGCTTCTCCGTTCCCATGAGACGAGGGAGATCAGGGATCTAGTTACCTGGCGTAGCAGCACATAGGGAAGGTATAGGCCAGATGGTCACCCCACAAACCAGTGCCCACACCACACACCACTTCAGGCGCACCATTCTTCTTTCCGTGACCCGCAATAATATGACACCAAACCTGAAGTGAAAGAATAGGAAATTTAGATTTAGCTTCGAGTGCCATTGAAAGAAATTTACGAGACAAATTCCATTCCATGTTAAAAAATAATACATGTTCAGCGCTAAACCCATATGAGTGATTCAGCGCAAGACGTGGTGGAGGCTTGATACTCCGTCTACTGAGCATCAGATAGAGCATCAAACAGAAAATCAGACTGTCCACCAGATAGACCATCAGATAGGCCATCAGATGAGCCATCAGACAGACCATCAGAAATCCTCGAAGTAAATTAATTATGAGTTCCATAAAAGAGAAAATAAGTCAACTTCTGAACGAGCCTTCAGCGCCTCCAGTACTTCCAGCGTTGTCTCGACCTGACCAGCAACGCTACCTGAACAGTTTTTAGTAGCATCTTAAGGGGCACTTCTGTTCCACTCTCTTCTAATAATATGTTATTTTTACCCTATAATCTACATTGTCCATAATTACTATCGCATTCGCTCTTTCTGCTTTCGTAATGTGAACTCTAAGATCTTTCCTTAATTCATGGTATAACTTAGCAAATCTTCGATGACATTTGTGTTGCAGAAGTGTCATTGAAGATCTGAAATACCAGAACACGTTTCGCGAGTCAGTGTGGTACAATATAAAGTACAAGAATGAACTTAGTTCCTACTGCAGGACCCTTAGAGAAGAACTGCAGTGTTCCTCCTGTGTTTATATCTCAGAACACTCCTACAGTACCGTAGCTGCAACAATAACAACATTGTGGTTGCAACAATGACAATACTGTGGTTACAATAATAGCAATACCGTAGCTGCAACAATAACAATTCTGTGCTTGCAACAATAACAAAACTGTTCTTGCAACAATAACAATACCGTAGCTGCAAGAATAACAATATAGTAACTGCAATAATAACAACACTGAGGTTGCAACGACAACAATACAGTATCTGCAACAATAATAGTACTGTGGTTGCAGCAATAACAATCCTGTGGTTGCAACAATAGCAATACAGAAGCTACAACAATACCAATACCGTTGCTGCAACAACAACAATGCCGCAGCTGCAACAAAAACAATACCCTAGCTGCAACAATAACAATACACTAGCTGCAAAAATAACAATACCGCAGCTGCAACAATAACAATACCGCAGCTGCAACAATAACAATACCCTAGCTAACACAATAACAATACCGTAGCTGCAACAATAACAATACACTAGCTGCAAAAATAACAATACCGTAGATGCAACAATACCAACACCGCTGCTGCAACAATAACAATACCCTAGCTAACACAATAACAATACCGTAGCTGCAACAATAACAATACCGCAGCTGCAACAATAACAATACAGTAGCTGCAACAATAACAATACCCTAGCTAACACAATAACAATACCCTAGCTGCAACAATAACAATACCCTAGCTAACACAATAACAATACCGCAGCTGCAACAATAACAATACCTCTGCTGCAACAATAACAATACCGCAGCTGCAACAATAACAATACCCTAGCTAACACAATAACAATACCGCAGCTGCAACAATAACAATACCTCTGCTGCAACAATAACAATACCGCAGCTGCAACAATAACAATACCTCTGCTGCAACAATAACAATACCGCAGCTGCAACAATAACAATACCCTAGCTAACACAATAACAATACCGTAGCTGCAACAATAACAATACCGCAGCTGCAACAATAACAATACCCTAGCTAACACAATAACAATACCCTAGCTGCAACAATAACAATACCTCTGCTGCAACAATAACAATACCGCAGCTGCAACAATAACAATACCCTAGCTAACACAATAACAATACCCTAGCTGCAACAATAACAATACCTCTGCTGCAACAATAACAATACCGCAGCTGCAACAATAACAATACCCTAGCTAACACAATAACAATACCTAGCTGCAACAATAACAATACCTCTGCTGCAACAATAACAATACGCAGCTGCAACAATAACAATACCCTAGCTAACACAATAACAATACCTAGCTGCAACAATAACAATACCTCTGCTGCAACAATAACAATACCGCAGCTGCAACAATAACAGTACCCTAGCTAACACAATAACAATACCCTAGCTGCAACAATAACAATACCTCTGCTGCAACAATAACAATACCGCAGCTGCAACAATAACAATACCGCAGCTGCAACAATAACAATACCGCAGCTGCAACAATAACAGTACCCTAGCTAACACAATAACAATACCCTAGCTGCAACAATAACAATACCTCTGCTGCAACAATAACAATACCGCAGCTGCAACAATAACAATACCCTAGCTAACACAATAACAATACCGCAGCTGTAACAATAACAATACCCTAGCTAACACAATAACAATACCGCAGCTGTAACAATAACAATACCGCAGCTGCAACAATAACAATACCGCAGCTGCAACAATAACAATACCGTAGCTGCAACAATAACAATACCCTAGCTAACACAATAACAATACCGCAGCTGCAACAATAACAATACCGTAGCTGCAACAATAACAATACCGCAGCTGCAACAATAACAATACCCTAGCTAACACAATAACAATACCGTAGCTGCAACAATAACAATACCGTAGCTGCAACAATAACAATACCGTAGCTGCAACAATAACAATATCGCAGCTGCAACAATAACAATACCGCAGCTGCAACAATAACAATACCGTAGCTGCAACAATAACAATACCGTAGCTGCAACAATAACAATACCGCAGCTGCAACAATAACAATACCGCAGCTGCAACAATAACAATACAGTAGCTGCAACAATAACAATACCGTAGCTGCAACAATAACAATACCGTAGCTGCAACAATAACAATACAGTAGCTGCAACAATAACAATACCGCAGCTGCAACAATAACAATACCGCAGCTGCAACAATAACAATACAGTAGCTACAACAATAACAATACCGTAGCTGCAACAATAACAATACCGCAGCTGCAACAATAACAATACCTCTGCTGCAACAATAACAATACCGCAGCTGCAACAATAACAATACCGCAGCTGCAACAATAACAATACCTCTGCTGCAACAATAACAATACCGCAGCTGTAACAATAACAATACCTCTGCTGCAACAATAACAATACCGTAGCTGCAACAATAACAATACCGTAGCTGCAACAATAACAATACCGCAGCTGCAACAATAACAATACCGTAGCTGCAACAATAACAATACCCTAGCTAACACAATAACAATACCGCAGCTGCAACAATAACAATACCGTAGCTGCAACAATAACAATACCGCAGCTGCAACAATAACAATACCGCAGCTGCAACAATAACAATACCGCAGCTGCAACAATAACAATACCTCTGCTGCAACAATAACAATACCGCAGCTGTAACAATAACAATACCTCTGCTGCAACAATAACAATACCGTAGCTGCAACAATAACAATACCGCAGCTGCAACAATAACAATACCTCTGCTGCAACAATAACAATACCGCAGCTGTAACAATAACAATACCTCTGCTGCAACAATAACAATACCGCAGCTGCAACAATAACAATACCGTAGCTGCAACAATAACAATACCGCAGCTGCAACAATAACAATACCGTAGCTGCAACAATAACAATACCGCAGCTGCAACAATAACAATACCCTAGCTAACACAATAACAATACCGTAGCTGCAACAATAACAATGCCCTAGCTAACACAATAAAAATACCGCAGTTGCAACAATAACAATACCCTAGCTAACACAATAACAATACCGCAGCTGCAACAATAACAATACCCTAGCTAACACAATAACAATACCGCAGCTGCAACAATAACAATACCCTAGCTAACACAATAACAATACCGCAGCTGCAACAATAACAATACCCTAGCTAACACAATAACAATACAGCAGCTGCAACAATAACAATACCCTAGCTAACACAATAACAATACCGCAGCTGCAACAATAACAATACCGTAGCTGCAACAATAACAATACCGCAGCTGCAACAATAACAATACCGCAGCTGCAACAATAACAATACCGCAGCTGCAACAATAACAATACCGCAGCTGCAACAATAACAATACCGCAGCTGCAACAATAACAATACCGCAGCTGCAACAATAACAATACCTCTGCTGCAACAATAACAATACCGCAGCTGTAACAATAACAATACCTCTGCTGCAACAATAACAATACCGTAGCTGCAACAATAACAATACCGCAGCTGCAACAATAACAATACCTCTGCTGCAACAATAACAATACCGCAGCTGCAACAATAACAATACCTCTGCTGCAACAATAACAATACCTCTGCTGCAACAATAACAATACCGCAGCTGCAACAATAACAATACCGCAGCTGCAACAATAACAATACCGCAGCTGCAACAATAACAATACCGCAGCTGCAACAATAACAATACCTCTGCTGCAACAATAACAATACCGCAGCTGTAACAATAACAATACCTCTGCTGCAACAATAACAATACCGCAGCTGCAACAATAACAATACCTCTGCTGCAACAATAACAATACCGTAGCTGCAACAATAACAATACCGTAGCTGCAACAATAACAATACCGCAGCTGCAACAATAACAATACCCTAGCTAACACAATAACAATACCGTAGCTGCAACAGTAACAATACCCTAGCTAACACAATAACAATACCGCAGCTGCAACAATAACAATACCCTAGCTAACACAATAACAATACCGCAGCTGCAACAATAACAATACCCTAGCTAACACAATAACAATACCGCAGCTGCAACAATAACAATACCGTAGCTGCAACAATAACAATACGGCAGCTGCAACAATAACAATACCGCAGCTGCAACAATAACAATACCGCAGCTGCAACAATAACAATACCGCAGCTGCAACAATAACAATACCGCAGCTGCAACAATAACAATACCGCAGCTGCAACAATAACAATACCGCAGCTGCAACAATAACAATA